GCACCACAATTTGAAAGCATCAATTTTGTGGCACTCAGCCTTCTTTATGGTCCAACTCTCACATCTGTACATGACTACTGGAAAAACCATGGCCTTGACTATATGGACCTTTCTCAGTAAGCAAAGTAATGTCTTTGCTTTTTAATATACTAGGTAGGTATGTCATAGCTTTTCTTCCAAGAAGTAACCATTTTTGAATTTCACAGCTGCAGTCACCATCTGCAGTGATTTTGGAACCCAAGAAAATAAAATTTGACACTGCTTCCAGTTTCTTCCCCTTCTATTTAACATGAAGTGATGAGACTGGATCCCATGATCTTCATTTTTTGAATGTTGAATTTTAAGCCAGCTTTCTCACCCTCCTCTTTCATCTTCATCAAGAGGCTCTTTAGTTTCTCTTTACTTTCTGCCATTAGAGTGGTATCATCTGTATATCTGATGTTGTTATTTCCCCCAGCAATCTTGATTCCAGCTTGTGATTCACTCAACCTGGCATTTCACATGATGTACTCTACATATAAGTAAGCAGGATGATGATATAGAACCTTGTCATACTCCATTCCCAAGATTCATACATCCATGAGCCTTGTCCTACTAGTTCAACAGTTTTGATTTGAACCAGTCAAATGTTCCACGTCTGGTTCTAACTATTGCTTCTTGACCTGCACACAGACTTTTCAGTAGACAGGTAAGGTGGTCTGGTTCTGTTATCTCTTTAAGAATATTCCACAATCAAACTGGGTGCTTTTAACATATTTATCTTCATAAATGAAGAAATAAACAGATGAAACAGCCAGTATTGCCCTGGAAATATAAATATCAGAGGCTGTTGCCATAATTCAAAAAGATACATGTACCCCAATGCTCACTGGAGTAGCATTTACAATAGCAAAGACATGGAAGCAACCTAAATGTCTGTCAACAAAGGATGCATAAATATATAGTATACACACACACAGCAATATTACTCAGTCATAAAAAAGAATGAAATGTCATTTGCAGCAACATAGCTGGACCTACAGATTATCATACTAAGTGAAGTAAGACAAAGACATATCATATGGTATTGCTTATATGTGGTATCTTATATGTGGTATGTGATATGTGGTATCTTAAAAAAAAATGGTGCAGATGAACGTATTTACAAAACAGAGTCACAAATACAGAAAACAAACTTATGGTTACCAAAGTTGCAAGCAGGGTGGAGGGGATAAATTAAGAGACTGGGATTAATGTATACACACTATTATTTTTATGTATTTTGATAAAATAGATAATTAATAAGGACCTAATGAATAGCACAGAGAATTCTACTCAATATTCTGTAATAACCCATATGAGAAAAGAATGTAAAAAAGAATGGATGCATGTATATGTAAAAATGATTCACTCAACTACACACCTAAAACTAACATAACACTGTAAATCAACTATACTCCAATATAAAAAAAATTTTTTTTTAATGATTAACTGCATTGGCTTGAGTTACTTATGTAGACACTTACACCTAACAACTTCAGAATACGGGTCATACATTGGAGATATTGCAGGTTCCCTTTCAGACCACCACGATAAACTAAATATCATAAATAAGTGAGCCAACCCAAACATTTTGGTTTCCCAGTGCCTATATTTATGTTTATACTTTATTATAGTCTATTAAGTGTACAATAGCATTATGCTCAAAAACAGTGTCAGTCAGTCAGTTCAGCCACTCAGTTGTGTCCAACTCTTTGCAATCCCATGGACTGCAGCACGCCAGGCCTCCCTGTCCATCACCAGCTCCCGGAGTTTACCCAAACTCAGGTCCATTGAGTCAGTGATGCCATTCAACCATCTCATCCTCTCGACCCCTTCTCCTCCCGCCTTCAATCGTTTCCAATGAGTCAGTTCTTCGCATCAGGTGGCCAAAGTATTGGAGTTTCAGCTTCAGCATCAGTCCTTCCAAAGAATATTCAGGACTGATTTCCTTTAGAATGGACAGGTTGGATCTCCTTTGATTAGGAAATAATGCTAAAAAACAAAAGGCTAACCATCATCTGAACCTTCAGTAAGTCATAGTAGCAAAATCAAAGATCATACATGACCAAAACTACTATAATAATGGATTAGCCAAAAAGTCCCTTCAGTTTTTAAGTAAAAATAAAAGACACATTTTTCATTTTTACCATGAACTTTATTGAACAACGTATTTACCATTTTGTTCTACTAAATTCTGTCACTTTTCAGGTAATTGCATAATTGCATCTTCTCAAACTTTTTATCTTTTTTGAGCAAAGAACTGTTCCAGGTGCCTTTTACAGTCTTCGAGGAAACTTTTCCACTGGAGAAATTTTTTCCATTAAGGGAATCTGTAAAGATGGAAATAAATGGAAATCCAAAGGTGCAATGTCTGATGTATATGGCAGATGAATTAATGTCCTAGCCAAGCTATAACAGTTTTTGCCTGGTTATCAAAGAAACACATGTTCTTGCATTATCCAGATGGAAGATTTTGTGTTTTCTGTTGTAATCTGGACAATTTTTGTGAAGTGCTGCTTTCCGTTGGTCTAATTGAGTAGTACTTGTTGGAATCAATAGTTTGGTTTTCCAGAAGGAGCTGATAATAGAGGTCTCCCTTCCAATCCCAGCATATACACAACATAACCTTCTCTTGATGAAGACCAATCTTCCATGTAGTTGGTGGTGGTTCATTTTGCTTTGCCCCACATTCTCTTCTGTTCCACATTATTTTGCCATATTCACTTTTCATCACCTGTGACAATGTGCTTTAAAAATGGAATGTTTTCATTATGTTTAAGCAGAGAATCACATCCAGAAATATCGTCAAGAAGATTTTATTCACTTAACTATTGAAAACAACCAAGCTGGTGCAAATGACTTTCAACGCTTGATTTAGAACTTTTGAGTATGTCGGCTATTTCCCGCATGGTATAACACTGACTGTTCTCAATTAATGTCTTGATTTGATCGCTATCAACTTCAAATGGTCTACCCAACTGAGGAGCATTGCCCAGTGAGAAATCTGTAGCAGGAAACTTCACGAACCACTTCTAACATGTTCAGTTAGTACATTGCACAAATCTTTTTTTGTGTTTCTGTTGCATTTTTACCTTTCTTGAAATAATAAAGCATCACATGCCAAAAATGTTGGTTTTCTCTTCCATCTTCAATATTAAAATGGTTATACAAAAACTCACCAGTTTTGTTAAGCTTTCTTTAATGCATGCCAATATGACAGCTGTCACAATACAATCTACCAAAATTGTTTCAAACAAAGTTAAAGACAACTAAGCACTACTAGAGCCACTGTACAGAAAAAAACAAAATGAATCTTTTGGCAAACCCAATAAGAAAAAAAATAATTAAAAAGTTTGAAATAATGAGAGAATTATCAAAATGGGCAGAGACACATGAAATGAACATGCTGTTGGAAAAATGGCATTGATAAACTTGTTCAACACAGGGTTGCCACAAACCTTCAAGGTTTAAAAATGTATCTGCAAAGTACAATGATCAATGCTAAGCTACAAAGTAATGGGTGAAAACATTTCAAAGATTAAAAATTAAGCAGAACAGTCTCTCTAAACATACTGAAATTCAGCTAGATATTAGTAAAAAAAGGAAATTAGGAAGTTTTTCATACATTTTTGGAAATGAAGAAAATTCCCTTCTAAATAATCCATTTTCTTAAAGAGAAAAACATGGACATTAGAAGATATTTTAAAATGAGTCATAATAATGATATGAAATTATCAATATTGGAAGTACAAAGTTAAAGTGTGCTTGGATGGAACTTTATGACTTTAAATATATATATTAGAAAAAAATAGGAACAAAAATCAGTAACTCCAAGCACCAGCTCAAGAAATTAGAAAAAGTGAAGAGAATTAAACCCAAAGAATACAATATTCTACAGTATGTAGAATAAAATATAAATACCAGAAATCAATGAAAATATATAACAGACGTGATCATCTGTTCATCTCCAACATATTTGTGTCTTGACTTCATGTGATTAGTGATTATACTGACAACCTCTATCCTCATTGTGACTGCATGCGTTACTTTAATATACTTTTTCTGTGCATGTTTACTGACCAGTTTTCTAATTACTGACCAGTTTTCTAGAGTTAAAGAAATTATCTGCCTAACTTCAATCAAGAGGGTTGACATTCAGTGGATGGGGTAATACAGAACTTTGGGTTAGCTTGTAAAGTTGGGAATTAAAAAAGCAACTCTATATCATGGTGAGAAATTTGAAGGTTTAATACCCTCAAAGAAACGGAGACAAAAGGGACTGTCTTGAGCTTTGAGTTAAAAACAATCCATAATGTATTTTTCACTAGGCTGCTTCACAACTCCCAAGACTATGTTTTTACTATCAGAGTAATCAGAAAAATCTCCAATAAAAAAATTAATATAAAGTCATTCTGATCAGTATTTCAAGTGACTGGCAAAAGCAACAGAGAAAGGAAGAAATACTTTCCAGCCAATCTGTACAAAAATCCTACATAAATATATCTGCTGAAATTGATAAACCAACATTAAAAAACACAAAGGAATAATTCACCATGAGCCAGCATTAGTAGAATCAGAGTCACAGGAGGCTTAGATATTAGCACTATCAAATATGAGTTTGTATATACACAGATTTGAGAATTTCTAGAAATTAAAACACAGTCACTATCATTAAACTTAACAAAAAAATCAAGTGGCATATTACAAAGCTGAAGAATGATTAAGTAAACTGAAAAATAATCTTAAGCAAATTACCTAAACTGCTACTTAGTCTGAGTATCCTCAGATTTATTGCTTCTGTTACATATTTATCATTCTCAGATAGCAATATATGATAAAATGAAAACTTCATTTGTTTATTAGCTATTCTAAACTATTTTTTACTCAGCTTAATCACAGTTCTTATATTAAATTAACTGACCTTTGGCCCTTGGCTACATACAATGCAATGGTTCAATATTTTAATTTACATGAATTACCTTAACAAAATCTCTATCAGTCTTCTCCTTCCATTCTTCTCCAAATACAGTAGAAAAGGATCCTAAAGCTAAAAGAATAAATAGCGTATTCAGTAATATGAAATTACTTCTTTCACTTAGTTCCTGAATAGGTAGGTTTGGAAAAACAGTAAAAATACACCTTAAGATACCTTGTTCATTAAAAATTGCTTCATAATAAATGAAAGTCATGATAACTTCTCTTGAAATACAGTTTTTCAAATTACAGAATTTAAAGAAAGTTTTTGTCACAATTTAAAAACACACAACTGGCTTTCATAACAGTTAGATAATAATAATTACCCTGCATTAGTTATCATTTGTAGAAGAAAAAATATTAAAAAGTCAAACTGATGCTATTACTACTAGGTTCCCAAACTTTTATAATCTTAAATATTCATTCATTTCAAAGATAATTATATAATTTATATTTGAAATATTAATGGGCAAGGCATTCTTTAGGAATAAATCTTTAGAAAACATTCTAAGTCATATAGCTGATTTACATTTCTTGATAAAGTTGCTTTAGGAGGAAACTCAAACCATCTATTTTCAACAGCTTCTTCTTAATAACATACTACCCCCCGCCTCTCACAACAAAGGTTCAGGTATACAGATACATGTTATACTGTTTTTTTTCATCTCTATGTTGCTAACTCCCTTTGTCAGCTATGGGACTAGACAGTAAAGTCATATAATACAAATTTCTAAACTGTGACACAATAGGCATCTCCCTTTAAAAACCAGGTAAGTACTTTCATCAACTATATAATTACCTATATTCTATAATGAAAGCTACTGGTTTTCAAATGAAGAAGAAAACTACATAGTGGCAACTGTTAACAGAAAAACTAGCTTTATGAATTTGATTCTTCAAAAAAATAAAAGTAAGCCTTCTTAATGGATGTGTTAATAACAAGGATAACATGTATATATTTTCTGTTGTAAAAGATTTACTGAATGTTTGTAGTCTTTTTACACCTTTAATTACAGACCTAATATTTACTTACTATTGTGTGTGTCAGTCACTTAGTCATCTCCTACTCTTTGAGCCCCCATGGACTGTAGCCCGCCAGGTTCCACCGTCCATGGGATTCTCCAAGCAAGAATACTGGAGTGGGTTGCCATTCCCTTCTCCAGGGGATCTTCCCAACCCAGGGATTGAAACCGGGTGTCCTGCATTACAGGCAGATTATTTACCATCTCAGCCACCAGGGAAGCCAAGTAATATTTACATACTACATAAAATAAAATTTGTAAAGTACTTAGGTAAGAACAAGACCTTTCATTGAAAAAAAAATTTAAAAAAGCATGAGGAATGGAAACAGTTTAACATTATATTGATATTAGAATCATGAGAACATGATATAAAGGGTAGATGTGAAGTTTTTAATAAATAAATTTAACTACAGTGACCTAAAGAAGAGTTTCATCAAATGTATACATCCGTAGCAGCTAAATCAGAAAAATTAAGTCCATACACTTCTAAAGAAAGACAAGATTTTGTTTGTCCTGAAGAAAACCTTACAAAGAAAAACTCCATGGAAAAAGAACACTGAATGCAAATATAAGAAGGAAAAATTAAATTTTTGTCACATGGAATTTTTATTATACTTCTTCAAACACATATCATGTATAAACATCCCACACATTCAAAAGAAGTGGCATATATATTTTCTCTCAATTAAAACTCCATGCCTAAAAAATTCAAAACCTCTCAAGAGCCGAATGAAATATATACATAATCATACATACCCTTAATATTTTCATAATGCAAAACCACTCTTTTAAATGTATATGGTCTTCATAAAGCCCCTATATACTCTGGAACTCTAAATTCTGACTATTGAAATAAAAGAAATATTCCTCAAATAGCACTTGCTAATATTAATTATTAATGATTCCTACTCTACATAACAATTTAGTCTGAGATAAATAAAAGTGCTAAAGAATGTCACACTTCAGCACATTAAAACTGGTAAACTCAGTTTATCACATATATACAAACGAAATCCTTATCCAATGATTAAACAGTAAGAATTCACCAAAATTATCAGTCTGAGAATATTTATTCTTTTTAAAAACTTCATTTTAAGATTTCTCAAAATGAACCAATTTTAAACTCCATTCTGTATTAAATGCTGAAAAATGTCTTTAAAAGATCAAGATGAAATATTAGGAAGCAAAGAACGTAAAAGTGAGGTGGAAATCCACAAAAGTTAGATCTTCACAGTTATAATACAAACTGATTAATTGCTGATCTTTGTTCCTCCTCCATGTAACCAAGAATAGTTTCAGAAGTTTAAGAAACTAATTTCACTTTAGTCTAATTTCAAAATGTCTTCATATAAAATAAATACATGTCAGATTTTTAAGGAACCCTATTTAGGGAATTCCCTGGCAGTCCAGTGGTTAGGACTCTGTTCTCACTGTTGAGGGCCTGGGTACAATCCCTGGTTCGAGAACTGAGACCCCATGAACTGCGTGACACAGCCAAAAACAACAAGAAAAAGGGAATCCTATTTAGATAATCCCAAATAAAAGGATGCTTGAAAATTACAGAAAAATGAACTCATTTGCAAACATGCTCCTATTTAAAGATAAAAACAAAAATACTCATATACCTATGAAATATTACAAGAAATTCACAGACTATTCTGTGTAATTTCCTATATGATAAAATAATTTCAAAATGGATCAATACCTTAATCTATTAATAGAATAAACTTCTGGCAAAAGAAGTTACAATGGTGTTGGGGTAGAAGGAGGATTGAGAAGCAAGAAGAAACTTTCTATCAATAACATTCAGCTGACAGATATTTTAAAAGGAGAAACTATGAGCAGGAAAAAATTTCAAAACCTGTTTTTTAAAATCCAATTACAGAATTGTGCAATTTGGTCTGAAGAGTAATCCAGATTTGAGATAATTTCACAGAAAACAAGGAACTTGATCTATAAAAACCTAAAACTAAAAAATCGTACAAGTAAAAACTATGAAATATTTGATAATCCTTATTTTGATTATTATGCAGCAAATTTTCAAGTGCATTGACCTAAACTATTTAGTTAAAAATTTTAACTGTACACCTGCAGAAATAGACATCAGAAAACTATTTCTTATAGGTCTAGTTTTCTCTATCAGAATTTTGTATCAAACAATTTCAAATCAACAAACCCACATTTATTCTAAGAAAAATGCAGCATTTTAATTTCAAAAGCTCTAATGAGGTTAAATATCTAATCTATTCAAATACATAAGGTTAAAAAAATCCAGACATTCATTATTTTAAATGATACATTTAATGTAACAAAAGCAAATAAAGAATGCTATTATATTGACTAATAAAAATACTTTTTTCCTTAAAAACATTTCAAAAAAATCTGAACACCTTTAAGAGAATGATTATATAATACATTAAGCCTAAAACTTACTGTCATCAAACACCCCGGCATTAGCAAGTAATAATGTGATGATTTTAGGGTCTTTTTCAAGTTGCATGACATGTTTGCTTTCATTTGACAGGAGAGTGCATACATTAATAGCAAAGTCCACTTCATTTGGGAGTCCAGATAATAGTGAAAGCACCAGTTTATTATAATCATTTGGCGAATTGAAGTCCATAGATAGCCCATAACTTTGACGGAGATAATCTAACAAAGACAAAAAACAGTAACACTGTTAAGTTTATCAAGGACTAGAAATCATTTTGGGTTAATATCTTCTAAATACAGGATAAGCTTGCTTTCTTTTATAAAGTACAAACTGAGTAGAAGTTTAGAGTCCAAGTTTTTTAACTCGTGAAAATTACACTCCTCAAAAAGTATTAAAATACAAGAAATATATATATACTCTGATATCACTGCCAAACTATTATATCATTATTTTAATTTACCTAATCTACACTTTTTATTCTTGCATTTCAAGGAACTTCTTCTGATTTTTTTAAGTACCATAAGCCAGAAAGCCTGGTTCCTTTGAAATTTTTAAGAACTTCATGTTTCAAAACACATTGCCTACCTTCTTTACCCTATTTTGGGAAGATTACTACTTTTTCAGGTAAGATTTTTTTGACATTTAATTAAAATGTAAAGTTCATGCTTTCAGTTCTACAGTTCTAGGAGTTCTGAAAGTCTTTTAACCACAACTGCAATGGAGATAAGGGAGTATTTCTATCATTCCAAAGAAGCTTCTTAATGCTCCTTAGTAGCTGATCTGTCCCCCTCTATCCATAAACAACCATTGATCTACTTAATTTTATTTCAAAATGCCAAATAAACAGAATCACACAATACTTTTATTTTTGTGTCTAATTTATTTTCATTTAGCAAAATGCTGTTGAGGTTGATACATTTTAATGTATGTATCAGTAATTGGTTCTTTTTTTTTATTGCTATGTGTTGTATGTCTTTATTGTTATATTATGGCTATAACACAATTTGTTCATCCATTCCCTAGCTGAAGAACATCTGGACTGTTTCCAGTTTTTAGCACTTCCGAATACAGTTGCTGATAACATTCACATACAGGACTTAATGCAGACGTATTTCTTCACTTCTCCTGGGTTGCTGGGTCATACAAAGTGCATGTTTAACTTTGTAGGAAACTGTAAAAGTTTTCCCAAGCAGCTGTAACATCTTGTCTTCCCACCAGTGACGTATGCGAGTTCCTGGTGCTTGTGTGCAACTTGTCAGCACTTGGTACTGTCGGTTTAAAATATTCTGAATATGAGCCACTTATCTAATATTTGTTTTGTAAATATTTTCTCCCAGATAGTGAGTGGTTTCCCTTTTCATTTTCTCAACAATGTCTTCAAAGAGCAGAAGGTTTAATTTTGATGGAGTCTGATTTATAAATTTTTACCTTTACAGTTCAAACTTTTGTGTTCTAACAAATCTTTTCCTAACTAAAATTTTATGTAGGAGAAGTGAAATATTTTTATAACTTTGAAGATAGGGAAGATAGGATTACAGAAAATGAATATATTATATAATCATAATATATATTAGAAAATGTTGTATTTCTATAATTACTGACTCTTAACTGGTGCAATTTAGGCCTTGACAGCTTTGTCCTGAGACATATACCCCTAATACATTTATCATATAAAGATCTAACTAGTGTAATGGGAAAAGGAAAGAAACAAGAGTTAGAAAACCGCTACACAAAACATTTCAGAAAAATATGGATTTGAAAAAAAATCTTTTAAGAATGTCATTAAATGGAATGCAAGTAGGAATCTATTGTCACAACATTCCACAGAAGAAAATCACGTAGGTAAGAAACTTCATTTCCCAATAGATATTTGAAGAGACCCCTCTTCAACATTAAAATGTTCTAGGAATTTCTCCATTAAGTATCACAATACAATTATAAATGAATTGACACAGATTCTTTATAATATTTAAGGTTGAACAACAATACATTGTTCATGTCTTATAATCTTGAAAACTTAAATTTCTCATATATAAAATAAATATCTTGGGAAAATGTAACGTAACTTCTGTGAACCTAGAAATACATTTTGGTATTTACTGCACACTGGAACTGATCATGAGATGCCAAGTTTCAGCAATAGTTAAGTCTTTAGATTCCACAAAATTTTCAGGCAAATTTCCAATAGAAATAAAAATCTGGAACCCATAATTGAACATCTGTCACAGTCGTGTGCTTTCAATATGATCTTGGAATTGTTCTGTTTGCTACTGAAGAATAACAGATACCACCATATACTCAATTCAATACATCCTTAGGTGAATGACTTTGCCAAAAGACATTGCCAATTAAAATAAAATAAACTAATATGATAATTATGAAAAGTCCTTTAACTATATGATGTGTGGTAAAGATTCCTTCCTAGGAATCTAATATAAGAGAAATGCTTACAAGGTTTTAAGAGCCTCCCTTCCCATCCCCAAGGAGGTATGTTTGAATAGGTACAATTTTATAACAGGAATAATGAGATCACGAATTTTCAATGTTTTGACACAATGTCTATACAAACACAACACTGCTGACAAATTTAACTGAATCTGAGGTAATCAGTTTAGAGGAAAGGGAGAACTGTTCCTGGAATGTTGTCTATATTACAGATATCATACAGTACATTCTTTCCATTGATATGGCAGTGACTGCTGTAGTTCAAGTATCTGTAAGAAAACAGGACATGTAAAGGAAAATCTTTGCTGAAATATTAAATACAACTGATAAAATCAAAATAATAAATCTTCCTGTATAAAGCTTTTCCAAATTTAAGTAACAAGAACGTAAATGGATAGTGTGCTTGGCCTCCTTTGGCCAAAATGATGGAATCGGATTAAATAATCACTAAAACCCTTGCTAGCTCTTAAACTCTACAGTACTATTAACTTCAGTGTGTTCATCATGTGTCAGTTTCACCTTTCAGAATTTTTCTACTAAAGATACTGCAAACAAATTAAAGAATTTTAATTTAGAAATTAATTTTTTAATTTTAAAGGGAAAGAGAAGATGAACAAAAAGTTCTTAGTAATCTACAGCACAATTCTGCAGAACTGACTATATCCAAATCAATACCAAGGAACAAAGAATAAAGAAGAAAAGCAAAAGATTAGGTCCTCATGGCAAGGAAAAATATGCACAATTATGCAAATAAATGACAAAATCACCATATTTTGATCCCGAAGTTTAATAATTCTAAAATTCAAAGCAAAATGTACCTAATACTTTTTTGGCTGCTTAAAGTCACTGGGCAAAAGGAGACAATAGCCTTATAAAATTTTCGTTCCATATTCTATCAATGTACAATATTCTACTATGACAATTATGAGTAGAATTGTAATTCATACTAAATGCCAATTTAAATTTATCATATTACCTTTCAAAGTATTGTTTTAGAATAGCTTTTTTAAATGTAAGTATCTCTAGATAAATACATGTATCCAAATATATCAATCCAAACCTACAAGGAGAGTAAGGCTATATGATCAAAGATGTAGACACAAATCTTTTAAATGTTCTAACTAAAATATCCTAAGGCTTTTAATCTACCACTATGTAATTCTACTTTGGTATTTATTTAAATACATACAAACATACACACTGACAGCTATGAAGCTTACTATATTTCCTTAATGACATTTGAAAAGAATCATTGGTAAAGGATTTGTTTTATATATTGATAGTCATGTTGATTTTTAGAACACTGTCATAATGTTGCTATGGCTCCTTCTGGGATAATAAGAAGCACCTTCAAATTCATAAGTGCTGCCCTGAAACGCTACCTCTTTTCAGTATGAATTAAATATACTATGTTCCCCAGTAATTTCTATTTCTAATCAGTCCCCAATCCTGATTCTGTCAAACATGCTACCTATGTTATATAACTGCTCAGATTCTCCTTAAACAACAAAAGACAGGCATATGACAGCATATCAGAAAGGAGTTATTACAACACCAGATTAAGAATTCTATCATTTCTTTAAAAATTGCATAGCTCTAGCAATGACTTTCAAGACTTCTGAAATATCAGAAATATCTTATTTCTTGAAGTAAATCATGTTTAAATCAGGGAAGGGGTCAGGGGAAGATCCAGAAAAGAATTTCATTTTAAACTAGATATAATATTGAAATGGGTTAGCTTGATAAGTGTAATAGATACCAAGCTCTATTTAACCTGTAAGAGTGGACAGTTCCGTCATTGCTATAATGTAGCAGTAACAGAAAGTTACAGAATGGTCTTAAACGTTACAGTGCCAGGTCTCATTCAGTGTAGAAACAGCCTCTATAACATCCTTGAATTAGATAATGGTCATTAGCTCTTCCTAAAAATGGGAAGCATATTACCTAACAAACCACCTCATTTTATTTAATCAGCTTAAACAGTAAGCAAGATCTTCTACATGATGACTTAAAATGTTCTCCTTTAACACTGGTTCCCGAGGTAATAACTTCTCGTTAAGGATAAAGGTAGATTTGGTTTGCACTCACCACTGGTACAACCCCTCCCCCAAGCCTCAGTTATACAAAATCACCAGATGAAGTCTCTTCTACCGGAGATCACAGATTCTAGGAGATTCTGTTTCCTCAGCTATTACTGATTGGGAAAGAAACAGGGTCAAATTCAACATGGAGGAAACTTGAAAATAGTCAATGAAAACTTTAAATCAGCGATACTGGCACAAATGAGAGAGCTTCAACCTAAGGATTACCTAAAAGAACGGTATTAGTACCAATGAAGAATAATAAAGATCGAGATATCTGTATACTTTTATAAAGACTATCCTCTTGAAAAAGATATGATCTCCTCTTTTTCAGGCCAAATATTGATGAATGAAGAAAAGACCTGCTTATCTCTTCAGAGCTCTCTTCCCAGTCATCACCTTCTGGAGCCACAAACACTGGAAATCGCATCAACTCTGCCTCGAGAACCTCTTCATTAGACTCTCAACCTATTTCTAACTTGAGTCTTGTTCTTTTTAGCTGCAGATTCCTCTATAACCATTATAAGAATGACTTGAATGAAAAAAATCTTAAGTCCCTGGTACCACGGCAGGAAAACAGTTGAAACATAGTAAGAAACATTTCTGAGAAATTCTGGTGCTGGGAATGCCATGAATTGTAGAAAATCTAGTAGATGCTATGAGTATTTTTTGGCTTCCTTAATTCTTTTTTTTTTTTTTTTGGCTTCCTTAATTCTAACAAGACATTCCTCTTCTTGTTTTAGTGACAATTTAGGTTAAACTGATCTTTAATCAAATTTAAAAAAAAAAAAACCAAGTTTCATTTGCAAGTGTATGTATATTTGTAACTCTAAAAATTCCTGCAACTAAAAGTCTTCTATGCGGGCTGTGACAAACAGGGTCCTCATACCAGTGACATGCTGATTTCCAGAAGCTGCATTAACCCAAGGCTTTCAGTATTTTCACGTGCCAAGTAAGGGACCGATTCACCTCACGGGATGACTCCTGTCCTAACTCAGAGCTGGGCGCCTCTGCCCTTCTCACCTCCCGGCGACATTACCTGACACGCTGTGCTGCTGGTAGTTGTAGGAAGATGGGATTGCACCAATAGGGAGCTGCGGTTTGGGGTTGCCTGGTGGCACCTCATCGTCATCCTCCCCAAAGTGATGAACTTTTTCGTACTTTTCTAGGTAACTGAAACAGAAAAACAGCACAGCAGAGATTTAAAAACAGATTCATGTTGTATATCTTAACTCTTACCACACAGATCTGTTTTCTTTTAGAAAGGCCGTAAATTTAAAAATATTAACAGGATACCACAAACTTCTTATATTAGTGGAATAGTCACTTCAGCAGTAATATTAGAGACAAACTCAATGCAATAGTTCTAAAAGTGCTTTTAAATGCCTAGAAAATACCATACTACTGTACAAATAAACATATAAAAGTAAAGACTATCAAAGAACTACATGTAGATAAATGACAGCACATTTTATTTACTGATTAAAAAAAATTATACATGGTCATTGTAACAATGATGCACAAATGAGAAGAGTCCCTGGCCTCCCCATCTCACTTATCACATGTGCCTTCAGTATATTTTTTGTGCATATTTTAACAACATATTTTAGAGACCCTGCAGGTCAATACACATAGTACTACTTCAGTCATTTTTAACAGCTGTATAATATATGCTCTGGTTGAGATATCATAATTTTAACTAGATCTCTAGTGTTGTATTTAGCTATGTTCAGTTTTGTTTTTTGCTATTACAGGCCATATAGCAATAAGCTTAATCTCAGCACTTGTTTGAATACTTTTCTCTCCATAGACAATTGAAATGGTATGATCACTTTAAATAAGAAATATGACCAAATTCTCACTCAAAAGTGATGTGCCCAAAACATTTTTACCAATTTCTAAGATTGTTTCTGTGTTTCCCACAATATCACCATCACTGGGTATGGTCAATTTTCTTAATATTAATTAGAATTAAATATCCAAATTTATAATCTATCATTACCTACCAGTTTATAATAAGATTCCCACAAGAAAGACTTTTAAATAGGGAAGCAACTGGTCAAACCCCTGTCAAACACAATACTGTACTTAATGAACTTGTTACTATACTTCATAAGAAGCAAGCTGAAAAATACCATAGTGAAGTTCTAGATGAGATCATGTCATAGGTCAGTCTTTCCATCATTCCTGAACCAGGCAGGTATTAAGTCCATTAGTCACTATTTTAAAAGCCCTTTGCTTTTATAGTTAACAGACAGCTGAGATGAGGGAGAGGGGTATCAATGATCTCAAAAGTATTACTTTGTTTTTAGTACCGAACTGTAACTTTCAAGGTAGGATGAATGAAAGTTGTAAATTTAGGTATAAAAACTAATAGCAAGGATACTCATCACAATTCTTCATTTTTCCCTTCCAGCTTTCCAAGGCACAACAATTCACATCTTGGAGACTAGAAAGGAAGTAAATTATCCCATTCAATTCCTTCTAAGTTCTCCATATAAGCTCAGCTTGAGCAAGGAACTCTTTCCTAACTGGTAGCTTGACAGCTAATGAACCCAACACTTTTCTCCACTGCCAGAGATACAAAAGCAGACACATATGCCTACATATAACACTTGAGCACTGAGGACAGTATACAGCTACATACATTTCACCCTGATCCTGGTGATGTACCCTAGCAGATAAAATTTACAGCCAAAACAAAAACATGATTAAAAAGAGACAGTCTCTCTCTAGTATAGATTCATGATAGACTTCTGTATGAGCCATAAATCAAACCTATCCTTTTTGAATTTCTAATGCAAAAATCATCAAAATAAGAGTCTACACAAATTTGGACACAAATAGCTGCTCAAAAATCATGTGACATTTTCTGCAAAAGGGGGTTTATCTACATTACATGAAATAGCAATAGCAGTGATAGAGGTATTTTACAAAGTATGTTCTTTCAGAATTGAGCTCACTGTGGAATGGTTAAAAGCAGGTTAAAGATAATTTTTCTTAACTAATTTCATTTAAATAAAATCAAAATAACAATGAAAAAGTAAAATTTTAAAATCAAAACCTTATACTAACAGTATGTTTAAGATGCTCTTTATAAATCTGTTACTCATTATTAAGTGTATGTGCATGCGAAGCCACTGCAGTAGTCAGATACTACTGCAGCTCCTACGGACTGCAGCCCGCCAGGCTCCTCTGTCCATGGGATTCTAAAGGCAACAATACTGGAGTGGGTTGTCATGCCCTCCTCCAGGGGATCTTCCCGACCCAGGGACAGACCCACATCTCTTATGTCTTCTGCCATGGCAGGCAGGTTCTTTACCTGGTAATTCCATAACTGAGCATAGCAGATTTAAAACTTCAGAAGAAAACAACATTACTAGTAAAGAAAAACCATAAATACCTTTTCCTTTCTGGAACACTCAAAACGGAGCATAAGCAAAATGGAGTGACTGGAACAACACAAGCACTAGCAATAAACAGTGTGTGCGATGGACATAAAGCCCCGGTATCGCAGCGTTTCCTACGACTGTTACAGTGCGCGACTTCTGGTCCCTTGGCTCTTCCAACTCTGTTCCTCCAGATGGATTCTTCACATAATCCCGATCTCCAGAAATTTACGGCTTAGGCAAATTGTGATAATTTTTGAAATTTTTGTTTCCCTGGCTTGAGGGTCAACACTTGTTCTCATTCATGATTAAACATTTCCAACTGAGACTCTACCTTTCATAGTCCAACTGAGGGTTTGGCATCCAGTTCTGATTCTTGTCTCTCTCAATTATTAAGCATAAAGTCCTTTTGTGGTTTTCAAAGAGCTATACTTCTAAAAACTAAATTAATAGACAAGAGAAAGCAGCTAAAATACAAAGTTACATTTCAAAATCTAGGTCTTCAGATTTAATTCTCTAACATGACCCTGAGCTCATATACTGACAGATATACAGTGTTCACTCATTTAACTACAAATATTAGACTACACATTTCTCTTTCTTCTCCAAGTCAATTACATTGCTTTGAATAGTTGATATAGTCTAATCAAACAGGTATTTACAGAGCTCCTTCAGTAATCTACCTAATACATGACATATTTAACTCAACACTAGTAAAATACTGGAATCCAGATGGCACTCTCTCAACAGGCGACACAGAGAACAAGGTTCCTTAGTTCAACATTAGGTACAAATTCAGGTGGGATGAATTGTATCTTCTTTTTTTCAACTTGGCCCTAGTTTATTTTGTGGTGGATTCTATGCCATACATGACAGATTTAAAGGATGAAAGGCAGATTTAAAGGCAAATATGAACATTTAGCATAATATAGGAATATAGGAATAATATAGGAATGATTTTAAATGGCACTATTCAATTAAAAAGTTTAATATCTAGGACCAATACAGTGGGAGGAAGAGTCCTTTCAAGACAGCATCAAATAACATAGGCAGTACAGTTATGAATGCAGAAAAATATAACCTCTTGTAGTATCTGATAGATTAAGTACACAAAAAACTAGTTCACAGAAGATTTAAATATAATCACCAATAAGACTGATTTATTAGATACACAATGATTTTCTTTTCAAATCTCCACAAAAGCTATTAAACTAATCATAAGCCAAGTCACATAGGAAACCACAATAAATTTAAATTCTGTATAAGGCACATTCTCTAACTGCAATCAATTCAAAGAAATTTAACCCTTGGAAAATTAACAATAACTTTATGATTTTATGTAAAAGTAGAGAAACTACTACAATAGTACCCATCAGCAGATATCAAAATTTATGGTTAAAAAAAAAAAAATTCACAGTCAACCTTGTTTCATCTGTAGCACTACTACTATCTTCACAACACTTTCCAGATTATTTTAAAGCAATTCCCAGCTATATCATAACTTTATTTATAAATATTTTGGTAGAATTCTTAAAAATTAAAAAAATATATGTAATGTTTATATAAAATATATATTTATATACATTTTTATATAAAACTTTTTGAAATGTTTTAGGAAAAGATGACAGTTCAAGGAATGCATATTAATCTTTCCTTAAATACAACTGTAATGAACTTTAAAGAGTAAAAATTGATGGATACTGCATAATTTCTAACTTAGAAATCTTTCAGAAATTCTGGTTCATTAAAAGCAACTTCAAGGATTTATAAGGCTAACTTGCAAAACAATTTTTGAGAGAGTAAGATGGTCTACTGGAAAGTGGAGGATATCTTAAGCAAAAACACATAAAAAGGCAAATTCAATTGGAATTTCCTTTAGCCACTAAGGATCAATAAAATATGAGAGTGTGTCTGATAACGGGATCCAAAGAATGACAAATGTTTAAGAAAAAGTTGAGTTGAACTCAGTGGCTGTCAAAAGAAGCAAAATCCTTTAAACTTCACCTTGAAGCTTGTCAAAATGAACCGAAAGATCCAAGGATGTGGAGCACCTATCAGAAGCACTAGCATGAAAAGACTGGTATCATCAGGTAATGAGACCTCTATTGATGTGGCATACAAGTAACTTTCAAGATGAAGCATCCCAGCACAAAAATCAAGAATACTGGCTTGCAAACCAGCAACGTAATGAACGACATTTCTTTGCCCAGGATTACCCCTGCAAAGCGGACAATGAAAAAGCAGACTTGACAATGTAAAAGTCACCACAGTAATGTAGACAGCATGCTTGAGAAATGGCTCCTTGAATAGACGGAAAGGATGAAAACAGTGAGGTGGATAAAAATGAAACAGGCACGATAAACAGGAGGTCAAACATAGGGAGGAAATAGTAGTCCTGAAGGAAAGACCAGAATACATTGAACATAAGCATTATCATTGAGATAAGAGAATTTCTTTAGGTAAAAAGTGCTTAATTGGTGTATCATAAAGGTTCCTGGGGTGTCAGGGTGCAAGGATCATCAGGCAAAAATTAATGAAAAGAAAAAACACTCAAGACATATATTGATGATATATGCAAGCTCCAAAGATAAAGACAATTCCTAGAAATATCCAGAATGACCCTACTCCTTTGATTATTCTATTCTGTGTCTTATTTACACAGGAAGAGTAATCATATGGGTTTATTCTCATAGTTAATATTAAGGGAAATATGTTCTTGGAAGTATTTCTGCAAGTGTTTAACAACCAAATTAAAGTCAAGATTATTTCCAATAATTATTTCCA